TGACGCCGTCGGAGACCCTCGCAGTGCAAAACTTTCCAGTTTATCCGGAGATGTCTGTGCACGGCGAGTCTTGCTCCTTTAGCAGGGAGCGCGATACCCCCAGGCGGCGTGGCGAGGTACTGTCCCAGGCTGGCAACGCGATGCGCGTCGCCGTGGTGGGGATCTCCATGATGTACGGGGTGGTGTGCATTCACGACCCAGACCCGCTGGCCGCCGACATTCAGCGCCGGATCGCAGCTGATCCAGACATTGCGCCCAGGACTCAGCCTTGTGTTTTCACGATCGTGCCCCTCACCCCCTCCATCCTTCTGCCCGCTCCTTGCCGCTCCTCCTCCTTCCCCCTCCTCCTTCCCCCTCCTCCTCCTTCCCCGTCCTCCCCTGCCTTCCTCCTCCTCCATCCTCCCGCGTCCTTCCCTCCCGCGTCGTCGTCGTCGCCCTCCTCCTCCTCTCCCTCTCCTCCTCCTCCTCCTCCTCTTCTTCTGCCTCCTCCTTCCTCCTTCACCCTCTCTCTCCCCCCTCACGCGCTCCCCGCCCGCCCGACGAGGAGGGGCGGTCGCGGCTGGATGCCTGGCTGGGCGTCGCCGAGCCCTGGCGGCACTGGCGGCAGCAGCGTGGCCAGCGCCTCCACGCTTGCCTCGGGGGGCCGCCCCCGCCGCGCCCGCCCAGATGCAGAGGGAGAGGAGGATGGGGGTCCGCGAGATCTTGGCGGCTTGAGGTTTCCTCTTGTAGATGGGAAGAGGCGCAACGGCTTCAAGAGGTTGCGCCGGTTGCGCCCCTCGAGAAGCGCGTGAATGATTGCGCCCAGCAGGGCAGGGGGGAGGGCAGGGGAGGAGGAGGAGGAGGAGGAGGGGGAGGAGGAGGGGGAGGAGGAGGAGGAGGAGGAGGAGGAGGAGGAGGAGGAGGAGGAGGGGGGGGGTAGGAGGAGGAGGAGCAGGAGTAGGGGTAGGAGCAGGAGCAGGAGGAGGAGGAGGAGGAGGAGGAGGAGGTGGAGGAGGAGGGGGAGGAGGAACGGGAGGGAAGATGGGGGAGAGGCGGAGGAGGGGCAGGGAGAGGGAAAGCGGGAGAGAGGGGAAAGGGTGGGATAGTGAGTGCATGTTTCTGCACGCCGTACAGAGTGACAGTGGTGCACGCTCGAAGCTCGCCCATCAAGCATGAGCGCGAGCAGATTTGTGTCTGTTCAGAACTGGCCGCTACGCGCCATGCTTACGCGGGCAAGCCGCGTGTTCGAAAGACCTGGCGTCGACACTCGTGGCCTCGGGCGTTTCTGCAAACCTTCCCTCGTTCGCCCCCGCCATCAGATCCAGATCCATCCTTAGTGCCAAACACGCCGCTAGATGAGACATTCACAGGACGTCAGGTGCACGGTATGACTTGAGGGCCCAAGCCCGACGCAGCGGGCGATCTCGGGCTCATCCCTGACAAGTACCATGCCAGAAACGATCATCTGCTGACGGAGGTGCCCTTGGGCCCTTGACCCCGGACCCCCCCGTCGTCGTCGACGTCGCGTGCCGTTCTGGGTCAGGCTCTGATACTCAGCTCTCCCGCTGCCAGTTAGTTTCGGGGGTGGACAGAACCCCCAACAGTGACACGTCGATTAGTGAATTGTCCGTTTTCGGTTCTCGAGAGGGCGCCGCGGCCGTTATTTTCCAGGCTTGCGCCCGCCAGGTTTGGGCCTCAGGTCGTTTTCACTAAACCACGTTTTACTAAAGGGAGGTCTGTCCATCCCCGATAGTAAACTGGCGGCGCCACTCGCTGTTTTTGGAAACCAGCACGCCCGAGAGACCCGCACTTCGAGCGGCGGCATGTCGTCGATGCAGTTCAACTCGATGGGGGACGCGTGCTCGCACTCGTCTGCGCCCCTGGCCGCCCCCTTGTCCCCGGGCGGCGGGGTTGCTGGGCGCTCCATCGACCAGTTGTACGGCGCCTGCGGCAGCATCTCGGAGAGGTTCCCCGATTGCGAAGGCGCGGATCGGTACAAGATCTGCGAGGCGGCGTACAGGCCCGATACTGTCTCCGTGCCCGCGTGGGGGGCCGATGGGCAACCGCTGCTTGTTCGCCACCAGGAGGTGAACCCAAGGAAGGTCGGTGGCGCTGTGATGCGCTACGCTCGCAGGATCCTCACGTCGGGCTTGATGCTGAAGTTCAGGGGCGTCATGATGGGCGTCCCGGAGAAGGTGGGCGGCGCGGCGGCATCATCTGATGGCCCTGGTACTGGCCATCTCATCTACAGGATGATCGCTGGCGCCACCTTGTCCGAGGCGATCTACATCGCCGCAGATATGGAGCCGAACAACAAGTACATCGAGGGGATCAAGCGCGACGGCGTTAAGATCCAGGTCTGGAACGAGCGGACGCCGCAGGACGTCCTCAAGTGGCTCAAGGACCTGATGTGTAGTGGAGGAGGTAGGGAGGATGGGGGATAGGGAGGGCAGGAGAAGGAGTAGGGCTGGGCGTCGGAGGGGGAGGAGAAGAGAAGGAAGCGGGGGGCGGAGGAGGAGTCGGAGGGGGAGGAGGAGGAGGAGAAGGAGGACGAGTGGGGAGGAGAAGGAGGAGGAAGAGGAGGAGGAGGAGGAGGAGGAGGAGGAGGATTGAATAGGAGGCGGAGGGTGGATCATGAGTTTTCGTTTTTTTGTTTCCACTCCTCGCGCTAGGACGAGGCCAACGAGTATCACGGCGGCGTCTCCACGACGTTTCTCGAGATGTGACCTCGTTCAAAACGCGGCCCTGCACCACCCAGCCCTGCCCACTCTGTCGCTTCGGTCTCTGGCAACTTGGAGGGTCCTCCCACCACGGGGCTAGGGGCGCTGGGGGCTGGAGATAACAACGCGATTTGCCTTCTCCTCCTTGCTCCCTCTCTCCTCCCCTCCTTGCTCCCTCCCTCCCTCCCCCTGCCCACCCACCTCCTCTCTCTCCCCTCCTTCTCCCACTGCTTCCTTCCCTGCCACCTCCTCTTTTCCCCTCGCTGCCTCCTGCCCTTCCCGCGCCCTTTCTGCCGAGGTTGGACTGCGTGCACGAGATCGAACCGAATTGGGAGGCGTACAGAAAGACCAACGGCATTGACAGCAACCTCCCGAAAAGTGGCCCGGGGTCCTACGCAGCTCTCATGGCGGACTGGACCATGAGGACGTACGGCCCCAAGTTCAAGAAGAGCAACAACCTCATCGCGAATTCGAAGAGGTTGCGCGGTCATCTCGACAATCTCGGCATCTACGAGACGATGTCAGAGATGTGGGGCGGCCAAAGGGGCGTCGACTTTCTGGACCCTCAGCTGAACGCCACCACGTGCATCAACGTCATGTCGAACATCCTGACCGATCTTGAGGAGACGTATGGGGGAACGTTAGACGCTAACATGATGCGGGTCATGACCATCGAGCTGCTCAAGTTCGCGGTGCCTTGGACCGTTCCGGACGAGTACTTGGGCCTAGGTTCCGAGGCGATCTGCGACGAGTGGCTGCTCAAGACCCCCGCTGGCACTAACAAGCTCCTGGCGTTCCTGAGCGCCCCCATGGGCGGGTCCGTGCTTTACCGCCCCGCGGCGAAGGCAAAGGCAAAGGCGAAGGCGAAGCCGAAGCCGAGGGCCGACGCAAAGGGCAAGGGCAACGGCAAGGGAGACGACGCCAAGAGGAGGAAGCTGGACGTACCAGACGAGGTACTCACCCTCGCGACGTCGGCGCAGCGTGATAAGTACTGGCTGGACGACTTGGGTGCCGCAGTCAGCGCCCCCCTCCAAGTCCTGGACCGCAACGTCTTCAAGTGGGACGAGATTGCGAAGGCTATCTTCTTGGGCTTGCGATTCTGCTTCAAGGCGAAGCTGACGCTCGCTGGGATCGAGTACGACGGCTGGCGCGCTGTGCGGAAGGAGCTGCGCACCATGGTGATCAAGAGCCATGGGAACCTCCTCGTGGCAGCCAGCATCCCTGGACTCCCCGAGGGCGCGTCATCATCGGAGCTGACCGACCACATGCTGAGCATGCTGGATGCCGATACAGCCAAGGAAGAGAAGGAGCAGTTGAGCGCACTCTGCCGATCTAACCAGGTCGTGAGCACCCTGCGCGGCATGGTGGAGGACCAGTCGTTCATCAGGGGCTTCATGGGGTTCCTGTGCCACAACCTCGCACTCCCAGGCCCGTGCGGGGGGCATGCTGCTTGCCGGGAGCTATCTGCTAAGGCATCCGCTGCCTTTGTGACCTTGAAGCTTGAGAATGAGAATGGCGACGCTCTGAAGATGAAGGCTCTCGCTCTTAAGACTTCCAGCCTCCTTTTCTCGGTCATCCCTCAACGTTGGATCGAGTTTACCAATCACGTCATCTCCGCGACCGAGACCGCGACGGACAACGTGAAGCTGCTGTCGTGGGGCGTCTTCGAGTCCAGGCAGCTTACCTTGAAGATGATGTCGCTGCGGACGCTCTACTTCAGAGAATGCATCTCGATGTACATTTCAGGCCCCGAACGGGTGACTGATACAGACTACCAGCACGTCATGCTATGGGCGTATGAGTCGCAGCAGAAGCTCTCCCAGTTCCTCGAGAGTTCGCCGAAGCAGTCGCCGGAGGCGTTCGCCGATCGCTGGGTGACCGTCCTGGCCATGGGCGAGAAGGCGAAGGACGCGACTGAGCTGAGCAAGGCATTCGAGAAGGTAGTGGAGGAGTCGACCGACGAAGCCATCAGCGTCGCGGACTGCGGGGGCAAAACCGTACCTCATCCTCATCCTCCTCCTCTTTCCACCTGTCCACTTCACTGTTTCTCCCTGTCCACCTGTCCGCTCTCCAGTTCCCTTTCCACCTGTCCGCCTGTCCTTCCTGTCCCCTTTCCACCTGTCCATCTGTCCGCTCTCCAGTCCTCTCCTCCCCGACTCCTCCCCACCCTCGCCCTCTGCCCCTCTGCCCCGCCCCGCCGAGGATGGCAGCGCGGTGCCTGGCCAGCAAGCGCAGGGCCAGCAGCAGCCGCAGCCGCCAGGCGACAGCGCGGCACCTGATGGGCAGGGGGCGCCGCCGAAGCAGGAGGAGCCGATGGACCTCTGCAAAATCCGTGCCATGTGGGCCCCCCCGCCCCAGGCCACAGATGGGAACAGCGACTCCGCCGACGTCAGCAATGTTATTCCATCGATGGTGTTTGCGAGCTTGCTTCTCCATGCTCAGTCGAAGCTTTACGATGTGGCGTTCCACGGCACGTCGACGGCAAGCCTGACCCCCGATGCCAACCCCCAGTACCTGACTGCGGACCCCTACCTCGATATGCCCGAGATCTGGTGGAAAAAGTCCACTGACGCCCCGAACCTGGACGGTTTGATTCTCAACCTGGCTGGGGAGGTCAGTCGGCGTGCGAAGCTGGGTAAGGTGGAGGAAGGGGAGGAAGAGGAGAAGAGGAGGAGGAGGAGGAAGAGGAGGAGGAGGAGGAGGAGGAGGAGGAGGAGGAGGAAGAGCGAGGGCGAGGAGGAGAAGGCTGAGGGAGAGGAGGGCGATGCCATTACGAGTGCGGCGGAGGAGGAGAGGAGGTGGACGAGGCAGGTGGGAGGAATGAAGAGGGTGGCGGATGTTGATGATGATGATGATGATGATGATGATGATGCTGCTGCTGATGATGATGATGATGATGATGATGATGATGATGATGATGATGATGAGGGGAGGATGGGGAGATCATGGTAATGAGGAGGATGAGAGAGGAAACGCATCCCCCTCCTTGCCACTCGAAGGTGTCGCGCGTCGCCAAGATCGGGGCTTGCAAGGCCTTCACCATCGGCCTCACGGAGGTTTTCATTAACCCCACAGGCGAGGACTTCGCGATGCCCGAGTTCATCCCCGGGTGGCTCATCCCGATCGCCTCGACCGAGTGGTTGGAGGCCATGAACAAGGCTGGCACCAAGACGTTGGTGCTCGGCCTGGAGAAGCGCACCGTCCCCCTCGTCTACCGGTACACCCTGTTTGCAGAGGCCAAGTGCATCGAGACCGACATGACAGTGTACCAGCTGACGAAGCCGACGAACGAGGATGC